CTGTGTAACTGCCTCGAGGGTGCTTGACCATTTCAACACAACGTGGTGCGATCATCCCCCTTGCGCGGAGTGAGGGTTCTCCACCCCGCACAACATGATCTACTCGACCACCATTATGGTTACCGCCAAAAAAAAAAAAAACGGAGATAAAAAAAAAACGGTAACCTGGTTGCCGAGTTCACGAAGTGAATTGGCTTGTTTTACAACGTCGTTGCCAAGCGACGAAAACCCAACCCCGATGGCAAACACCGGGGGGGGGGCTTGTTTTACAACGTCGTTGCCAAGCGACGAAAACTCAACCCCGATAGCAAACACCGGGGAGGGGGGGTTCGGTTTGGCGGGGTGCTGAAGAAAAAAAACAATGCCATCATGCAGACGAGCACGTTTCTTTGACACTAGAACCTTATCTTCGACAGAACTACGTCGTCGCAGCCGGTGCCATAGGACTGTTACAAGTCGGACATAATGGAAAGCAAATCACGCTGGAATGTTTGCTGAAGCAACTGTCAACTGTCAAGCTGCGCCGACTGAACAATAGAACGATGGACCAGAACTTGCTCCGCCTCACCTGAGCCATGTGCACAGACATCGAGGGGACAGCGGCGGAAGATGGGTACGTCAACGCTCCCTCAATGCTGATGCCGACGAACGGCATCACCGGAGGTCGGTCGCCCTCTACGACCGTAGCCATTCCCATGTTCCCTGGTTCAAAAACGCGGCGGCCGTGACGTCTCACCAAAAGTCTAGCCACGACCGTTGCGTCCCGATGCTCATGCTCGTGCTCAGGTTCATGTTCGAGGGCATTGTCGAGTCGACGGGCGTGGCCGGACAGACGTTCTCCGGCCCAGCTAGCTCGAAGTATGTGTCGCCGCGTCTTTGATCGTGAGAGTGCCTTCGCGCGACCAAACACGCCTCTGCGGGTGAGGCCACCGCAGTGAGTGACACTGCCTCTGCCGCCGCTGTTGCAACTCAGGTGTCCAGTGTAAAGGCAAAACGCACAGCCTGTCCGCAACACTGCCACCATGAGACCCGCAAGAGCAAGCCTCATGCGCAGGCGCAGAACCGTGGAAGCAGCAGTCAACGGCGATGGCATTGTCATGATCCACCAGCACCTGGAAGAGACAGGAGCGGCAACCAGCCGCCGCCGTGTAGTAGAGGTTGGATGTGGCAATGAAGTCGGAGAGGTTAATTCGGGACGACAGTGCGGGCGGTGGCAACGCCAAGACGAAACGCTATGTACAACAGCAACAGTAACTGGGGGTTGTTGATAGATACATGATCACTTTCAGCCATTAAAGGGCTTCACGTGTCATTATCAACAACTTAATCTCACTGAATCATAAGAAACACGCGACACCTTTTATGACAAAGACGCCCGGCACCAAGGGAGGGAGGTCTATCCTGTGTTTTGCAGTCGCTTGGTGTGATAGATACTGGAATTCTTCACAATTCCAATTTAAGGGGGTGCAGAAGACGAATTTTGATGTTGACCAATTTTGAAATCAAACGCAAGAGCACCAGGAATTGCACAACAGCACACCAGACCAGTATGAAGGCACCGCGGAAAAAAGCAATCGTTGATTCTCGCACAGGGCGGCAGTAGAAGCTGCAAAAAACATACATTTCGTGCGTCTACCCTCACACGCTCCTTTGAAATCAAGATACATTTCGCGCGTCTACCCTCACACGCTGCCTTTGAAATCAAGATAAAAAATTCGTACCATGCCAAATTCTAGTCAAAGCGCCAAAACGGAAGGCGCTCAAACAAGGTCACTTTTGAGGGTTAGGTGTCGAATTCTATTGTCATCAGTAGAGGACATCATGAAGATGCGTCGTGCGTGCTGACACGTTCAGGTTTGGCTACTGGAGCTAAAATGTCGAAGGTCGCAGCAGCCTCTGACAACAGTCCGAAATCTGCGCGGAACCAAGCGGCATCCAACATTTGTCACAGCCGTGCTCGCCGCCACTGACCCCAATCTCCTGAACTGCGGGTCGACAGCAAGAGCTGACGACCCGCAGTTCAGGGGTTTACGGCCCCTGGCGGTGAGCACGGCTGTGACAAATGTTGGGTGCCGCTTGGTTCCGCCGCAGTTTTCGGACAGTTTTCCGAGCCTGCTGCGACCTTCGATATTTCAGCTCCAGTAGCAAACCTGAACGTGCCAGCACGCACGACGCCTCTTCATGGTGTCCTCTACTGATGACAATAGAACGTGACACCTCACCCTGGCGGGAAGGTTGTTTTCGTTCTTTGTGTGGATAAATTTATGGGAAAAAGCCCCAGTGTCACAAACCCTTGTCTGCACCCCCTTCACAGGGAGTATGCCATCCTCGCCCCCCCCCTTTTCCCGGATCGAACCAATGCACCATGCCCCCCGTTAAAACGGTGTGAAATCTCGCCAACAGATGCTCAACAAAAACATGATATGCACATTCTCGCACGTGGCTCACGTCCTTTGATTGACACAAGGAAGGCCGCCGCCTTTCCCACAATCTGCGACGAAGATCCCGAAATATTCGGACATACGATCGAAGTCAACATCTTTTCTTTACCCGTCCAATAGCACAATCCCACTCGCCGCGTTCGTGCGGCCCGTACGAATGTCAGGAGGTAGCGGACAGAGGTCTGAAAGGACGACGACGACAACAACAACAGCAACAACAACAACAGCAACCAACTACAATTTGTACCCAAACGACGGAATCAAAGCGCTCAGCAACAGGCTTCACAATTACAAAAGCGGTCACCTCGCAAATTTGCCGTCTTTGGGCAGTAGGATACGGGGGGAGGGAGTTTTGGCAGAGTTCTGTAAATCTGGTCGCGTCCTGTCGTGATCCTCTGTCAGCGCTCTCCCAAGCAAGAAAAACAACACCTGCCGTAAGGCGGCAAGAGGCAACAACGGGGCAGACGCAGGAAGAGATGCGAGTGCATGCCACGAAAGCAAGTTGTGTAGCGGACTGCAGCAGCACAATTACATGGGTTCCACGTGTGTCAGGAATGTTGACACGAGCACGAAATTTTGACTCGAGACCAGTATTTTGACACGAGACGTCAGAATTTTGAGACGAGAGGTTTCGCCGCACTTTTTCATGTCAGAATCACAGGTCAGAATTTTTCGAAAACGTGGTGAAAATATTTTCACGTGAGGTATTTTGACACGAGAAAACCGCAAATTTACACGAGCGCAATCGCACACACACGAAGGCATAAACTCAGTCGGCAAGCTCGCACGTAGCTTCCCGCACGCCCACACACGTGAACACAACGCTCCCCGGAGTACATCGCGTGAGGGGAACGTCAAGCCGCTGTTAAGATCGTGTGCGTTCATCGCGGGATCGAGAACAAAACACGCCGAGG